GTAGTATTTCAAATATATGTCAATATGTTTGGAAATAATATTTTTTAAAATATATTTCAAATATATTTTTCTTCCATGTCGGGTGCCTTGGCATGCGGCCACTGCGGCCTTCGCATTTATTTGCAAATATGTTCAATTAAACCCTTTGTTTTTACCGTGAACTGTTGGACAGGTCCAATTCAGTTTTGTTGCATGCCAACTACTAAGTGAGCTGGGAATTTTTGATTGTCTTTGATGTGCATTGCCCTTCCATATGTTGGTTGCTGCAAAGACTAGATATAGGTTGGGGTGGTTGCCATTTGTTTGTACAGCATGGAAATCTGGCATTGCTGCAACTTTACCAATCAAAGAGACATTAGTCTTCCAAATGATGTCATCACCAATGAGATGAGGGCTCCCACATGGAAAAAAAAATATATTTTAAAAATACATTCTTAATATATTCTTCCCAAATATATTCACATATATTTCAAATACTACAATTTTGGCCATATTCAATATATTTCAAAAATATATTTCAATATATTTGTGAATATATTATTAGAAATATTTTCAGAACACATGCTGCAATATATATCAAAATGTAATTTGGAATTCATTTACAAGTATATTTAAAAATTTATGTTTAACCACTTGACCTCCAGAGGATTTACCCCCCTTAATGACCACGCCTCTTTTTGCTACTAAGCGCTGCACTAATTCAACTGATAATTGCGCGGTCATGCAATGCTGCACCCAAACAAAATTTACGTCCTTTTTTTCACACAAATAGAGCTTTCTTTCGGTGGTATTTGATCACCTGTTCACTTTTTATTTTTCACGCTATTAACAAAAAAGGCCAAAATTTTAAAGAAAAACAATATTTTTTACTTTCAGCTATAAAAAAATATATAGTAAACTCAAAGTTGGTTATAAATTTAGGCCAAAATGTATTCTGCTCCATGTTTTTGGTAAAAAAAATCCCAATAAGTGTATATTGATTGCTTTGTGTGAACGTTATAGCGTCTACAATCTATGGGATAGATACTGCAATTTACGCCATTTTTTTGCTATACAGCGCTGAGCTAGTTTAACGGACAATTGCGCGGTCATGCAATACGGTACATAAATGAAATTTACATCCTTTTTTTCCCCACAAATTGAGCTTTCTTTCGGTGGTATTTGATCGCCTGTGCGGTTTTTATTTTTTGCGCTATAAAAAAAAAAAGAAAAAAAAACAATATTTTGGACTTTTTGCTATAAAACATGTCCAGTAAAAAAAAATGTAAAAATCAAATTTAGTCATAAATTTCTGCCAAAATGCATTCTGCGACATGTCTTTGCTACAAAAAAACCCAATACGTGTAAATTAATTGGTTTACGTGAAAGTTATAGTGTTTACAAATGGCGGGAAAGATACTGGGATTTTTAGGTTTTTTTTATACTAATATGGCGGCGATGGCAGCGATCAGCGACTTATGGCGGCGATCAGCGACTTATGGCGGAACTGCGGGACTGCAGCGGACATTCTGACATTGGGGGGTACTGACTTGGGGTCACTGACATCCCCAGTGACACCAATACAGTGATCAGTGCAAAAAAAAAAAACACTGACACTGTACTAATGGCACTGGGGAGGAAGGGGTTAACTTTATTTTTCAGGGAAGAGTTATCTGTGTGAGGGGAGTGTTTTACTAGGGGGCGGGGGGGTGTGCTGGATGGGGACAGGCTGATCGAGAGAGAGAAACTCTTCTGTCCTGATCACTGTGTCCTCGAGCTGTCAGGGAACTGACAGAAAGCACAGCTACTGCTGTGCTCTCTGTCACTGATTGCCGCCGATCGCCGGGAGATAGCCGGTAAGAACCGGCTGTGACCCGGCGACTGACATCCGTGGCTGTGATTGGCGGGACAGGTAGAGCGGCGGCACGCCTCACGCGCGTCCCCTACCTGTTTACAAAACACACACGTTTTAAAACGTGGTTTTGCCTGCCCGTGCCGCCCTGCCGCCATATTTATACAGTGGCTGGGCGGCATGAGGTTAAATTATTTTTTTAGATGTTCAAAAATATCTGAAAAATATATTTTAAAAAAATATATTTTTAAATATATACCTTTGGAAAATATATTTTACTTTACGTTTATAGAATACATGTTAAAATATATTCGTGTAGGCCAATATATTGTAAACATATGTCACATGTATAATTTTTTTTTCTAAATCTATTGAAAATATATTTCTCTTCCGTATGGGAGAGGCGGGAGAGCCACTGCTCTCATGCACAGTGCTGGATCACTATTCCATATGGGCTTCCACTTTGCTTATCATAATATTTTGGGTTGCAGGTTCAAATATTTTTTTCCTGGAAATATTTAGCTTCTGAAGCAACGTATCGAATATCTACCATTTTTTTTTCCAGATTGGGTCATCTTGCAAGCGCCTTCCCCTCTTTATGAAGGAGAAATCCTACATCTCAGATGTCACAGTACCCCCGGCTATAACTATGTTGTGAAAAGAATAACCTTCTACAAGGACAGAAAGATCATACAAACATCAGACAAAAACTCTGACTTCTACCTCAGTAGAGTGGCTGTGGATGCCACCGGTACATACAAATGTGAAAAACATATATATTTTTCTTATGATCGAATATATTCTGATGAAAATGTTATTGTTGTTAAAGGTAAGTCTTTTCTAGCATCAGAAATTACATTTTCAGAAATGTAATTTTGTGTTCGTGTTCAATTTTTTTTGGTGCGTCTTTTCTTGTAGAGCTTTTTTCTCCTCCAAAATTAAGAATGCCCCCAGATCCAGCATTAGAAGGTGATCATGTGACTCTGACATGTGATACAAGCGTCGGTCCGCTCACACCGAGGAGAGGACTCCAGTTTGCTTTCTACAAAGATGGACGGAATGTTCGGGATTTCGGGTTATCTAATCAATATGGCGTCCAGTCCCTTGACTTGAAGGATTCTGGGAAATATTCTTGTGAAGTGAGATCCTCTAATTACAATGTAGCAAAGAAGAGTGATGAAATGTATCTTCTGACTCAGAGTGAGTTACCAAAATATTCAGCCTGGTTACAAAAGACGTGCGTGGGTGGGTGGAGTGTGGTGCGGCAGCAGTAATTATACTGAGCCCGGGTGCAATTGACAAAACTTGTATTGAAGTAACGGCCCGACTTACACATAGCCCAGCGGGAATGTACCCGACTGGGAACACTTACAGTTCTGCAAAGTAATATGGAGTGGAACAGATCTTGATGCACCAACAGCGTCTGTCTCAGAGGGTGGACAGCGGCCTGGCCGGTTTTCACCTGATTGGGAGGATTCCTGGAGAGGATAGTGTCAGGACGCGAGTGTTCCGCGGCATCGCGCCGGGCGGCGCATGCGCAGAACACCAGTCCTCTCTAGCGGACGAGCATCGGGACCTGGGCGTGGATGGCGGCAACGGTGTTCGCGCATGCGCACACTCGCGATCGCGGACACGCGCCTGGCACCAATGACAGCGCAGGGCGGGCTATTTCAACGAGGAACCAGGTATGTCAAATTGCCGTTTGGTCTTACCTGCTCTGTTCCTGATTGTGTTCCTGTGTTATTTCCATTGCCGATCTCTGCTTGTACCTGACCTGATTCTCCTGATTGACCCCTGGCTTGCCTGACGATTCTTCTGCCTGATCCCTGGTACCGCGCTGCCCGCAAACTGCTGAACCTGGCTTGTGACCCTGACCATTCTCTGCCTGCTCCTCTTGTACCGCGCTGTCCGCACGTTACCGACCCGGCCTGCCTGACTACGCTTACTCACCCTCCGATCCATCCATCCATCCCGCATGGATCACTAGTAGTAAGTCTGCCTGCCTCTTCCCATCAGACTCCATTCCGGCAGACACCTGCCGGTGCTCTCTACCACAGCCGGACGCTCTCAGGGGATCGCGACCTGGTTCCAGTCTGCACCAAGTCCATCCCCACCATCAGGGGCCCTGGTGAATAGCAGGCTGGGACTTAGACCCCACGCCCTGGGGAAATCCGTGCTTTGGGCTGCTAGAGACACTGCCAGGCGGCTCGTAACAGATAGAGTGTCCCTATCCTGTCCCTACTCATCTGGAACCTTTCCCTACCACTATTTAGACAGGTGACCTGTCCCTACACTGTCCACTTGCAAAATGCTCTCCAATCCCAGGAGCCTGGGTCTTAAATAGACTCTGCCTGACCCAAGATGGCCACCGGAGTCACATGATGTGGCAGCATCCAACCAGAATGCTTCCCTAGTGACCCAGGAAACCAAAGAGGAGGTGTTCCCCTGACTTCCTCTCCTTCTGCAATACTGCTGTAGTTTGAGCGCCACCCGCAGTGGAGAAAAGAAACTGCACCTGCCTACACATTCATGGCACAATGTCTATATGGATTGTATAAGAAAAACCTGCGCTCGGAACCTAACCACTTCCTGTCCGGACACTTTAACCCCCTTCCTGTCCAGGCCAATTTTCAGCTTTCAGCGCTATCACACTCTGAATGACAATTGCACGGTCATGCAACACTGTACCCATTGAATTGAATTTTTTAGCATTTTTTGAGACAGATAAAACTTTACTTTGGTGGTATTTATTCACCACTGGGATTTTTATTTTTTTTGCTATATAAATTAAAAAGTCCAAAAAGTTTGAAAAAAAAATAGTTTTTCTTATAAAATTTAGCAAATAAATAATCTTTTTTCATAAATCTTGGCCAAAATGTATTAAGTTATATTTATAGTAAAAAAAAAAAAAAAAAAAAAAAATAACACAAATTAGTTTATGACCAAAAATTATAATTTTTCAAAATTGTTTTTTACATTTTTATTTTACTTTTTTTATATTAATATTTATGTTTTTTTTTTTACATACTGTCACCCTAGCAGTACAGTGTCACCATAGTGGGGGGTGATGAAGATTTTTTTTTTTTTACACTGATTGCTTTTACACCCATAAAGACTGTAAAAGCAATCAATTCTTCTCTCTGTCTGCATTCTTGCAACCACTGAGAAATACTGTGCGACCTGTGATTGGTCACAGCTTGTCACATGGTACAAGGCTGTTGTGAATAGCCTTGTACCATGTGACCTCTGTGATCATTCACAGATTTCACACGTAGTAAGCAATGATGTCAGAAGTGACATCTTGCTTACTACTCTTCATGTGATCACTGATTGGCCAATCAGTGATCATATGATTGGCACCGGATCGCAGACACAGCGGGCACCGGATCGCGGTGCTGCGCACTCCCAGGGAGCGCGCTCAAGCAGGGAGTGGGAAGGCCATTGATAAATGGCCACCCGCCCCTGCATTGCTCCTGTCTGGCCGTTTATATACATGGACAGGAAGTGGTTAATAGGTGATGTAGCCTCCCTGGCGGTATTCCCGAGTGTAGCTCGGGGTAAAGTTTCAGTACCACAAGCGGTAACCCCGAGCTACACTCGGGCTTACCATGCGGCGTTGCTCCGTGATCTCTTCTTCTCCTACCTTGTCCTGCGCTCCCATGATGTCCCTCCTGCAGTGTCCCGGGCAATGTCCTCCGGCGGATGCCGGCATCTGTCTTCTGGGTTCCGTCCCCTGCGAGCGTCGGGACGTACGGGGGACGGAACGGCGGGAAATTTGAAAATGACAAAAAGTGACATTCACGAAAATCACATAGTATAACATTCCTGTATCAAACCATTTCACATACATTTTGTCCCGAGTGCTTTGTCCGGCGCCCTGCCTGCATTTTTACTGTTCTTTCTGCCTGGAAACTGAGAAACGTCCATGGCGTCCAAAAAAGCGTCCCTTTAGGTCAAAAGCGGTTTTAGACCGGCTAGAGAACAGCGATAGTAAATCAGAACCACTTGCAGAATTGAGTGATAATGATTCGTGGGGGGAAATTCCTCATCAGACACTGAAAATGATTTTGCGACTGAGCTCAGCGATGTGCGAACTTGGCGCTATATTTCAAATTTCAGTGTTTTTGGTTTGATTATATTATTGAATTAAATTTATTATTATTATATTATTATTTTTTATGATTATTTACTAAATTATAATTTATTATTTCGTGTTTCAAATTTTAACATACCCGGGATGTTTACTAGACTCTTGTTCGGACAGATTTCAGTGAGTTATTCCTAAAAATTACAGTCTTCAATAAAAAAAATACATATTTCCATGCAAAAAAATTTACCGCTTTGAGCACAGAAATATGGACATAATCAGACCGCTAGGGAGGTTAATAGTACTGATTGGCATATTCAAGGCTTTGGACATCTTTTTATTTCCTTTTCCATCTTTATAAAATTCCATTACCTTGTTACGCAGGACTTTGGACACTTCTTTTCTGATCCCCATGGCTCAATATCTAGCCCAGTCAGTGCTTCCACATGAGAGCTAACAAACTCATTTATACACAGACACTAATTGCAATTTAAAAAGCCACAGATGTGGGACATTAACCTCTAATTGGCATTTTAACCCGTGTGTGTCACCATGTGTGTCTGTACCAAGGCCAAGCATTCCAGGTGGCGGAGACTTCTAATCCAGGGGGCGGAGACTTCTGATCCAGGGGCGGAGACTTCTGATCCGGGCCATTTGGGTGATTTCTGTTATCATTATGATTTAAAAAGGAGCCAAACAACTATTTGATAATAAATGGCTTCATATGATCATCATCCTTCAATAAAAGAGCATTTTTTTCATCATATTTTCACTATTAATGCCAAAATGTCACAATTACTGCCAGGGGATGCAAACTTTAGAGCACAATTGTATATCCAGCTGATACAACAACCAATCTTCAATAAAAAATCACTTCCAGAGCAATCAAAGACGCTTCTCCAAATTAAAATTTGGAGTAGCAAAATTTTTTTTTCCTAATCAATACACAGCTGTCGCATGACCCAGCTCTCTCTCCCAGCATGTCTGCAGGGAAACAGTGGGAGGAGGAGCTTCTACTCCTCCGCTGCCGGTCACGCGTGTTCAAAATAAAAGCAGAAACAGCCTTTCATCTCTCCAGACCGGACTTGTCTGATCCCCAGGCCGAGAGCCTGGATGATATGTTTATTGTGTGCTGTTTTTTTATTGGATGCTGTTTTATCATCTGTAGGGATTTTTTCAACTCCACAAATAAACATCACTTCCTCTCCGGTCATAGAAGGTGACAACATGACCCTGATATGTGACACCATCCTTACTCTGTTTGGGCACATGACAGAACCGCAGTTTGCTTTCTATAGAGATGACCACATTGTCCAGAACTTCAGCAAATCCCATCATTATGGAGTCCAGTCCACTCTGGGGGACTCTGGGAATTATTACTGTGAAGTGAAAGCTCCAAGCAACAATCTAAAGAAGAGAAGCGGCATGTTAACTATAGCTGTACAAAGTGAGTATAACGACAGCCAAGAAGCATTTCAAGAAATACCTACATTAATTATTAATGATATTAAAGTGCATTCTATGCTTTAAGGTAAAAAAAAAAAACTTCTGGGATCCCCCCAGCCCCCTTATACTTACCCGAGCCCCATAGTGATCCAGCACTGTGCATGAGAGCAGTGGCTCTCCCGCCTCCCATATGGAAGTGAAATATATTTTCAATATATTTAGAAAAAAAATTATACATGTGACATATATTTACAATATATTGGCCTACATGAATATATTTTAATATGTATTCCAAAAATGTAAATTAAAATATATTTTCCAAAGGCATATAGTTAAAAATATATTTTTAAAAATATATTTTCCAGATTTTTTTGAACATCTAAAAATGCATTTAAACATAGATTTTTAAATATACTTGTAAATGCATTCCAAATTACACTATATAAAAAAACACATTTCAACGTACAGTGTGTGTGTATATATATATATATATATATTTATTTTTTTTTAATATATATATATATTGAATACGGCCAAAATTGTAGCATTTGAAATATATGTCAATATATTTGAGAAGAATATATTAAGAATGTATTTTTAAAATATATTTAAAATATATTTTTCTTCCATGTGGGCTGTCCCTCCTCAAAGGGCATCTCAATAACAGTAGGAGCCATCTGCTGTCAATCAAACTCTATGACAAGGCAGCGGGGGGGATGGGGCCATGCTCCGCTGCCTGTGTCTATGGATGCAAAGGAGGAGGCTTCCTATGAGGGGAAAAAAGGCAAACCACCCCATATGGAAGAAAAATATATTTGAAATATATTTTAAAAATATTCTTCACAAATTTATTGCCATATATTTGATATGCTACAATTTTGACCATATTCAATATATTTCAATATATATATATATATATATATATATATATAAAATGCATGTTGAAATGTGTTTTTATTACAAAATATATGAAAAATATTTTTAAACATACATTTCCAATATATGGTATGTCTTTAAAAATACACATCTACATTTTTGGAATGCATTCACACATAAATGTAAAAATATATGTTAAAATGACTTTTTTATATGTTAAAAAGAATCTGAAGAATATATTTAAAAAATATATATTTTTAAAAATATATTCCAAAAATGTAGATTTGTATTTTTAAAGGCATACAGTATATTTGAAATTATTTTTTTTTTATTTTTACAAAATATTTTTCATATATTTTGTAATAAAAACACATTTCAACATGCAGTATATATATATATATATACTGTGTATATATATATATATATATATATATATATATATATAGAGTTACATAATTACATAGTTAGTCTGGCTGAAAAAAGACAAAAGTCCTTCCAGTTCAACCGTAAAAAAAAAAAAGTTATAATCGTAAACCCACAGTTGATCCAGAGGAAGGCAAAAAAAACCCCAGCAGAGCGTGATCCAATTTGCTCCTGCTGGGAAAAAAAATTCCTTCCTGATCCCCCAGGATATTCCCTGGATCAACTTTACCCATGAATAATACATATATATATATATATATATATATATTTATTGAAATATATTTTGAAATATATTGAAGACGGCCAAAATTGTTGCATTTAAAATGTATGGCAATATATTTGGGAAGAATATTTTTAAAATATATTTCAAATATATTTTTCTTCCATATGGGACTCCTGGTGAGTCAGTGATAGATACTCCCCTCTGAACATCAACAGGCTCTTATCCGTTCCGTGGCCGCAACAGCATGTGAAGAGCAAGAGAGTTGACCGCACTCCATGGGTGTAACAGATAAAACTTCTCTTTCTTAAATCTTCATGTAAAAAATCGCATTGTCCTATGTGGGAGTTGTGATTTATACATGAAGATTTAATAAAGAGAAGTTTTATCTGTTGCACACCCATGGAGTGCGATCAACTCTCTTTGTCTTCACAGGCTTCCTATGAGGGCACTGGATGAAGAGGAGGACCCAAGAGCACACCGGCGGGGTACCTGAGAAGAGGAGGATCGGGTCTGCTCTGTGCAAAACCATTGCACAGAACAGGTACCCATATGGGAGAAATATATATTTTCAATATATTTAGAACAAAAAATTACACATGCGACATATATCTACAATATATTGGTCTACACGAATATATTTTAACATGTATTCCAAAAATGTAAATTAAAATATATTTTCCAAAGGCATATACTTAAAAATATATTTTTCAAAATATATTTTCCAGATATTTTTGAACATCTAAAAAAAATGCATTTAAACATAGATTTTTAAATATACCTGTAAATGCATTCCAAATTACATTTTGATATATATTTCAGCGTGTGTTCTGAATATATTTTTAATAATATATTCACAAATATATTGAAATATATTTTTGAAATATATTGAATATGGCCAAAATTGTAGTATTTGAAATATATGTCAATATATTTGGGAAAGAATATATTAAGAATGTATTTTTTAAATATATTTAAAATATATTTTTCTTCCATGTGGGTAAGTATGACATATTTATTATTTTACTTAAACAAAAAAGACAATTTTTACAATAACTTTAAGCAAGCGCTACAACCTTACTAAGTCAATTTACTCAATTTACTACAAAAGGAGACTATGGAACTTTTTGAATGACTTTTTTACAGCTTATGTTTCAAAACTGATATTATATTACATAATTTTTTTATTTTTTTTTATAAAATGATGGTTTTACAAATAAACATGTATTGGTGGTCAATAAAAGTGTTATTTAACCCTCCAAATCAATAATTATCAAAGCAGTAAAATTTAACCCTCAACATTGATGATCAGTGGTTACTGATCTGATCACGTGCTCTCACATCGGGAACAATACTTGCCCCATTGGTCTGAGATCTCTTCATCTGACAGTACCAGCTTTGCTTTCAGTAGCAGATCC